TCCGGCTCTGGTCCAGCCTGGACCCAGCCCTTGTGGTCACTTGGGGGGTGAATTAGCAGACAGGAGTTCTCTCTCTCTCTCTCTACCTATCTCTTTCTCTGTCTCTGAAATACATTTCAAAAAGTTGATGGAGGCTGGCATTGTAGCACAGTGGGCTAAGCCCCCACCAGCAGTGTGGGAATCCTATATGGGCACCAGTTTGTGTCCCGGCTGCTCCTCTTCCGATCCAGCTCTCTGCTGTGGCCTGGGAAAGCAGAGGAAGATGGCCCAAGTGCTTGGGCCCTGCACCCACGTGGGAGACCCAGGAGAAGCTCCTGACTTCAGATCTACCCAGCTCTGGCCCGCTGTGGCCATCTGGGGAGTGAGCCAGCAGATGGTAGACCTCTCTCTAACTCTACCTCTCAAATAAATAAAATCTTTTTTTTTTTTTTTAATTTTTGACAGGCAGAGTGGACAGTGAGAGAGAGAGAGAGAGAGAAAGGTCTTCCTTTGCCGTTGGTTCACCCTCCAATGGCCGCCGCGGCCAGCGCGCTGCGGCTGGCGCACCGTGCTGATCTGAAGGCAGGAGCCAGGTGCTTCTCCTGGTCTCCCATGGGGTGCAGGGCCCAAGCACTTGGGCCATCCTCCACTGCACTCCCTGGCCACAGCAGAGAGCTGGCCTGGAAGAGGGGCAACCGGGACAGAATCTGGAGCCCCGACCGGGACTAGAACCCGGTGTGCCAGCGCTGCAGGCAGAGGATTAGCCTAGTGAGCAGCGGCACCGGCCCAATAAAATCTTTTTAAAAAACATTTTTTGCTGGTTTTTATTTTTGCTTACACGTTTTCAAACTTTTCTCTCCATCTCCTAACATCATCTAACAAGAAAAAACATCACTTAAGAACCTACACAGACCAACAGTGGCACAAACCTGCCCCCGTCCTGGTACTGTGGTAGCCTTATGGAACCTCTGAAAAGCAAGCCAACCAGTCAGAAGGGAGTTCTTTCCGCTCAGCCCTGGCTCTGGTTAATATTCAGGAATTCCACTTATTTAACACAGAATTGATTGCGCCCAGAGAACAGGTGCCATAAACAAAACCTCTCACAGCAAAACTCACTGATCAAATGTGCCCGTGGCAAAGTCCTCAGGCCCCCAAGGACGGCTGGGACATGCTTCTGGAAGGTCCTACTATTTTTCCTAAATGATACAGAAAGAACTAGACGGCTCCTACCTTCCAAAAGCGGTAAGGACCCAGCGGCTCTGCTTGTGCGCTCGCCCCGTCTCACGTGGGATGACTTCCTCGCTGGTACTCAAGGCTGGCAGGTGGGTGACCCAGGCGGCTGGCAGGCAGTCCAGAGCCACCCACACGGCTGGCTGCCCAGGTGTCCCCTCGCTGATGGCAAATGACGGCTGCCCATGCGCCTCCCTAGCGCTGTATCAGCCACCTGTACCTGATTTAACTGTGACCGAAACTACGTCAGACACACACAAGACAGCTCGGGCCTTGCCAGTGAGGCCAGACAGGACGTCCCCATCCAGGGAGGGCGAGACTCCGGGCGCTGTGTGATGGACCGCTAACTGCCACAGTGATGAGATGCGGGAATTGGAGACAAGACCTTATTCCCCGTTCCCCTGTTTCTCAACCCCCTGTGAACACCCGGGAGTGGAACTGGACTCTGTGGAACACGCTCCCCATGCAGGGCCTGTGATGATGGGGAAGCCAAGCCCTGCATGTCGCATGTGAGCCCCCCTGCTCCCTCCACCCAAAGGACTGAAGAGAGGGGGCTGCCCCCTGTGACACAGGCATCCATGTGGGTGCTGGTTCGAGTCCCAGTTGCTCCACTTCCAATCCAGCTCCCTGATAATGCACCTGGGAAAGCAGTGGAGGACGGCCCAAGTACTAGGGCCCTGCACCCACGTGGGAGACCTGGAAGTAGCTCCTGACTCCTGGCTTCAGCCTGGCCAGGCCCTGATGGTTGCAGCCATTTCAAGAATGAATCAGAGGGGCCAGTCTGTGGCACAGTGGGTTAACGCCCTGGTCTGAAGCGCCGGCATCCCATATGGGCGCTGGTTCGAGTCCCAGCTGCTCCACTTGCGATCCAGCTCTCTGTTATGGCCTGGGAAAGCAGTAGAAAACGGCCCAAGTCCTTGGGTCCCTGCACCCACACGGAGACCTGGAAGAAGCTCCTGGCTCTGGATCGGCCCAGCTCTGGCCATTGCGGCCATCTGGGGAGTGAACCAGCAGACGAACGACCTCTCTTTCTACGTGTCTCTCACTCTACCTCTACTCTGTAACTCCACCTCTCAAATAAAAAGAAAAAAGAATGATTCATGGGATAGAGAGAGAGAGAGAGTGTGTGTGTGTAACTTGGCCTTTCAAATAAATAAATATTACAAAATAAAAAAGGTTGGCGAGAGATCTATTATGACCCCTGAATACAGCTTGCACATATTTTTGGAAATGCTATCAGATAAGGTTTTGAAGCAACATTTTAAAGGTTATTAGATCTTGGAAAAATCATCCCGAAGCCTTAGGAAAACAGCTGAAGAATAGTATCAATCAATAATTTCTTTGAAATTAGATGCCAAAACACACACACTACATATGTACTTGGCTGATTACTACTGAAGTTCACTGTAGAGATTATTACTCATTCAAGAAATAACGGACGGCCGGGGAGAGAGCCAAGTGCACGGCTGGCCTTGCCTTCCGCCCTCGATCTGGGACAAACCTTCCTCTCTGGCACTGCACGCAACCCAGGAGCCCACCAAGCACGTCCACACGGACGGGGTCACGTCCTCAGGATTTGGAACTCTATTTTCTCCCCCGATGACCCTCTTCACCCAGGAATCTCCAGCATGTCAGGGCCAAGAATTTGATGTCTACAGACACAGTCCTCGCCAAGCAACCCCAAGAGTAACTACGGCAACGCGAAGAATCACCGCTTCTCCAAGTTCTGCTTTGCGTTTCAAAGACGACTCCCCTGGGCTCCCCTGCACCTGCCACGCACAGACGGCAGGCAGTGCATCTGAGGACGGTCAGAGAGTGCCCCTGCATCCCTGAGCCCAGCTCACGGCCCCGGCCGTGCCACGGCGTGGCTGGCGGCTGAGGCGGCACTAAGACATGGTCAAGCCTAACCGTTTACCCATGTCATCACCCTCCTTACAGAAACTGCCAGGCTATGACTTCCGAAGCCATTAAAGCACCCCCTCCCCACCACCACCAGGGACACACACACACTCCTCAGACTCAAATCTACGCCTGGGATTTTCAAAGCAAATGGCCTTCTTAAGCACCGAATGTCAGGATTCTTCGCCAGCGTGTCTCACAGCCGAAGCCATTAAACAATTATCTGTCAGAGTCGCTGACTCAAGGCAGCCCGAATTTCTGCCATCACCTGCGTCCTTTTCACCAAGTCCAGTGTTTTGTGGAATGCAGTCCCCCTCATGCTTTGGGGCTGAGCTTAGCGAGAGAATCAGCCACACAGCAGACCCGCACCCGGAACCACTTCAGCCATAATATTGCCAAAACAGCCATATCGGAGCCGGCCCCCCCCCCCTTTTTTTTTTTTGACAGGCAGAGTGGACAGAGAGAGAGACAGAGAGAAAGGTCTTCCTTTGCCGTTGGTTCACTCTCCAATGGCCGCCGCGGCTGGCGCGCTGCGGCCAGCGCACCGCGCTGATCCGATGGCACGAGCCAGGTACTTCTCCTGGTCTCCCATGGGGTGCAGGGCCCAAGGACTTGAGCCATCCTCCACTGCACTCCCTGGCCACAGCAGAGAGCTGGCCTGGAAGAGGGGCAACCGGGACAGAATCCGGTGCCCCAACCAGGACTAGAACCCGGTGTGCCGGCGCCGCAAGGCGGAGGATTAGCCTATTGAGCCGCAGCGCCGGCCCGGCCTTTATGTTTTAAACATGTTTTAAAATGATTTTAGCTGTCGATTTTAAAATGGGACACTAAGAGACCGTGACTTATAAAAGTAACCAGAATTTTTCAATCGCTGTCCCCCCAAAACCATCACCAATCCCCTAAGCTTACCTACGAGGAGGAGCCGGGCGCGCCTCACCTGCCGGTGCAGGGTTCACACGGAGGCGCTCAGCTGTCATTGCGGAAGCGAGACAAACGCCTGCCGCCAGTTTAGTGACGTCCACGAAGAGCCTCACCCGGGGCGACAGAGCCTGCGCCGTCCCCACCAGCACCTCCCATGGTCTACCCGGCTCTGCGGAAGCTCCCTTGAAAGGCTGGGCTCTGAGCTCAGGCACGCCTGGATGACGGACCCCCGAGCCCCTCCCGGGGGGCACAGCCCGTGTCGGTGCATCAGGGACCCCAGCAAGGAGCAGACGCGCTCAATTACACAAAGCGTGACCCCCATGATCCGAACTCCCGCTAACATCTTGTTCGCAAAGCAGGGTTTTGGAAACACGGACACAGACCAAAGACTTCCAAGTGGCAGTGACATCCCTGAGCAGAGCTCCCCATGTGACCAGCGGGCAGCGTGCAAGCTCCTTCAGGTTCCCGACTCCCCCGCCACGCCGGACACGGAGCTCTGGGCACATGCCCGACACCGTTCTCTAGAGCTGTGGGGGTGCCAGTGAGAGGGCTGGGACCTGCAGGGCTCGGCTATCCAGGGTGTGGCCGCGGCAGCCCCCCATCCTCACCACCTGCTGTGTTCTCCCAATACACCCGCACGGTACTCACTAGGGACCCAGGGCTTCACAGTATCTCTGTCCCTCGACGCACCCTGGCCCAGCTCCACCCAACACCCCACAGCGCCCCCAACAACTGCTGCTTTCCCATTCTCTGGACAGCTCCTGTTTGCGTCCAAGGTGTCTCTCGGAACCGTGGCCAGGGCAATGTAGGACAAGGAATCAGCTCTCTTCTCACCACCAAACCACAAGGTCGTGGTCAAGGGCAAGTCTATCATGAAACATTATTTACACAGCACACGGGGAGCTCGGCACCAGGGCTATCACAAAGCTAAAACAACAAATGTGAAGACAAGGAGGCTTCGAGCCACTTACTGTTCACGTAAACGTTAAAGGCCACGGAAGCGTTGACATCAGCATTGGACACGAGAAACGTGTAGGTGCCGGCCTCGCTCCCCTTCAGTCTGGTCAGGTGCAGCTTGCTCACGTATCTGAAAAGCAGACAAGAAATCAGCCCCCTGGGGAAGCCCTGGCCTGCCTCAGGGGCGGGGGAGATGGCCCAGTGAATTCAGTGTCCCCCCCGACCCTCCTAAGCAAACACACGCCCGGTGTCGGTGTGGGACAAGCGCCTGTGCGTGCAAAGCCTGCCTTGGTGCACAGAGGCCTCCCAGGCCCTGCAGCCCCGGGTGCTCTCACGGCCACTTCCTCCTCTGCCCACAGCACCCTGACCTCAGCCGACCCCCCCCACGCAGCCCCACTTCTGCTCTGCCTCCTGCCCAACCTCAGCTGCACTCCTGGCTGCAGGGGTGTGTGAGGTGGTACAGGCACGCCGGCACCCCCCCCCCCCGCCCACAATCCACCTGCAGGGTGCTCATTCCCCTCCTGCAATCTTTACCTGCCTCCCACGCTGCTACCTCCCCCTGTTGGGGGGGTGCAGCTCACAATGCCTCACCCCTGCAATCCTCCCTCCCCTCCCCACCAGGGAGGGCCCTCGGGAGCTTAACCCTGCTTAGAAGTGGCCAGGCCAGGTCTACAGCCCAGGAGCCCTGCTCAGAGCCCCTGCCCCCGCCCAGCAAGTCTGAGAGTCTCCCCCTCCATCCCTTCATAAACCTTCAATTCCACCTTCAGGGGAACGGGAACCAAGACACCTCTTACCTGGGCTCCCACTGTCAACGCTGAATCGGACAAACCCCACAGTGGACCTGGGAACACCACCAGGGGTGTGTCCAGGCCCTCCCACCCCCAACCACCTAGTCCCATCGAAAAGGGGGCTGAAAAGGGGGCTGAAACCCCTCCCGACTCGGCCCTGCTCCCTCCAAGCCTTAGAGCAGGCCGTTACCACCTCTCAGCCAGAGTTGCCTACAGCTCTGCACTGAGAAAATCCACAAACTCCACCCAGCCGTGGGCTCCTGGCCAATTACTTCACTGCTGCCTGCCTCAGCTCCCTCTTCCTGAAACCACGCAGGAAACAGGAGTGCTTAAGGCAGACTCACAGAATGACAATCGCTTTAAGTAGCACTCTGACCTCAGAATCAGCCCTTAAGGCTTCTGGTCTGGCTGAAAAGCCCATGGGAGCATTTCAGGTATGGAAAGCCAAGACACTGGCAAAAAATGTTCTACATGAAGGACCTCAGTGGGTGAGACCCCAGTGGAAAGAAGGGGCCATCAAAGAAGGATGTACTATTCTCTGAAGGGAGGAGAGAACTTCCACTGTGCTTATGGCCTTGTCCAAATACTGACGGAGTCTGTGGAGTCATAGGCTTCCATAGCCTAGGCAGCTCCCATCAAGAGCCTCGGGTGATCACTGACATCATACATAAGAGTGTTGATTGTTAAATTAACAACAGGAGTCACTGCGCACTAACTCCCCATGCAGGACCTCTGTCTTCAGTGAGTTGTGTTACAAGAGTTGACTGTAAAACTAGTTCTCAAACAGTTTTGTGTGTGTGTGGTATGTGTGCAAATTGTTGAAATCTTTACTTAGTATAGAGTTGGTCTTCTGTGAACAAAGTTAACTGAAAAGAATCTTAGTGGAGAATGGGTCTGGGAAAGAGAGAGGGAGGAGGAGGAGGGGTGGGAGTGAGGGTGAGAGGACTGGTATAATGGAAATAATCACTATATTCCTAAAGTTGTACTTATGAAATTTGTATTTCTTAAAAAATAAATTAAAAAAAGAAATGTATAAAGTTTATATTCCTTAAATAAAAGGTTTCTGGAGGGAAAAATTAGTAACTGAAAAAAAGGGGGCTGGAGCTGTGGCAAAGTGGGTAAAGCCGCCACCTGCAGTGCCGGCATCCCATATGGGCACTGCTTTGAGTCCTGGCTGCTCCACTTCTGATCCAGCTCTCTGCTATGGCCTGGGAAAGCAGTGGAAGATGGCCCAAGTCCTTGGGCCCCTGCACACATGTGGGAGACCCAGAGCAAGCTCCTGGCTCCTGGTTCCAGACTGGGGCAGCTTCAGACATTGAGGCCAGTTGGGGAGTAAACCAGTGAATGGAAGACCAACAGACCGACCGATCTCTCTCTCTCTGACTTTCATATAAATAAATAAATAATAAAGAAAAAGATGTGGGGACATTTTGGATTTCAGGTGTTCACACGCAGGATGCTGTACCCACGCAGCTTAACTGGCTCGCAGCACGGCTGCCGCTGCTGTCTTGATCCCAGAGCTCTGTGGGTCAGGCGAGAGAACCCGACCTATGACCTGGCCCAAGGCCACGTAGTGGAAGATGCCATTTACTGTGTCCCGAGTCACGGCCACTGAGAGCCCAGGAAGGAAACATGCCCCTTTCCCACGTGCACACACAGCAGGTGAGCCTGTGGGGGGCAGGCCCGTGTTGGGGGGGCAGGCCCGTGTTGGGGCAGACCCATGGTGGGGATGGACCCATGGGGGGGGGCAGACCCGTGGGGGGAACAGACCCGTGGAGGGGGGGCAGACCCATGTCAGGGCAGAACCCTGGGGGGGGGGGGAGAACCATTTAGGGGGAACCCGTGGGGGGGGGGGGGGG